CCCCCCCCCCAGGGGCAGCAAAGAGTGGACACCCCTCCACAGTGAGGTTTCAGGACATTACTCTATGACTGACATGTAACAGATCATGGAAGTGATCACCCCACAGGAGAGATGCATCAGGGCTTTCAGCAAGCTCCAGTGCATTGCAGAAGATGAAGCATTGTCTGCATGCATCCACAACCCTCAGTTAGCATTGACATGTGAATGGGGGTCTCTACACCCTGCTGGTGACTAGTATCCTTCTACAGAGAGACACTGGGCACCACACAAGTCCTAAGGGTAGGTTCACACCATTTTCCAGACCAGATCTGGTATGAACCTGCCCACAGCTCTAAACAATGAGACATGCAGTATTTTTCAGGTGTGGGACAGACTGCACTGGTGTGAACAGAGGCCAGGAATAGCATAAGGATACATTAGGATGCATTTTGGGCCCAAAAACAACCCGGATGTGGCATGAACAGGACCTGAAACTCCCAAACTGACCAAAGGAAGACATCACCCCCAATACCTCCTAAATGCCTCCATAGAACATGAGCAAAGACACCAGTTACCCCACCCAGAGGACTACTTACCCAGCCAGGAGTGTACAATGCATGGTCACGGCAGTCCCAACACTCACCACCCCTCCAAGCCAAACAGATCAATGACCCTGAAGAGGAAGATACAAGCAGTGTCCATCCACCCCTCATTATATACAGGAGATGACACCCAGCTGAGCCCAATTTACCCCTAATTACCCTCCTGACCACTCCGCCCCCTGCAGCTGAGTCTACTCACACACCCTAGGGGCCCATGCACACATACAGCTGGGGCTGCCACTATAGGAAGCAATTGTTTTCTGCGCGCAAATGCGGTGCGCGGTGAGTTGCGGTAAAATGCGCATGGGCCGTATTTTTGTGCACCATGCCGGCTGCTGCTGGAAGTCACCGCAGGGCAATGAACTCGATGGACATAGGTCTTTTTTTAACCTGACTAACTATGTAACTATGTAATGTGAAGTGCCGCCGTGCGGAGACATGAATGGAGCGCACTTTGTACACCACAAATAAAGTTAAGAAACAAGTACGCGGTGCCTTGCTTTGTAACAACGCATCAAACCCGCAGCTCACCGCTGTGACTAGCCGCAAGGTGAAATGCAGCGTTTACCACACGGCTAGTGCGAACAAGCCCTAAACTGAATGGAGTCACCCCGATTGGTGCCCTCTCATCTGCTCCGCCGCCATGATGTACAAATCTCACTCCCTCTGCGCGGTGAACTGCGGTTTTCTGCACAAGAAGGACGCATTGTTCTCGATGGGCCTCGTTCACACTGCAGTGCGGCCTTCAGGTAGCTTGCGATGCGTTCCCGATTAATGCAGACGTGCTGCGTTTTTTGTGACGCGCCGGAGCACACCTGAAGACACCGTTATTGTCGGACGCTGCAGTGCAACTTGGCTGCAGTGCATTTTGTGACACTTCAATAAAGTTTAAAAAAAAAAGAAATGTAAACAGTGTGCCGCGCTGAAACACTAGGCCGCAAAATACGACTCTGCAGGCCGGTGTGAACGGGGCCCTTAGTGCGGAAAAAAGCGTTACCACAACGCATGGCAATGCACCTTCTCTGTGTGCGCTGCGTTGGGGGGCCATTTATTGGGCCCCCCTGGAGCAGTTGTCCATGGCAACCAGCCAGCTTCTCTCTTCAGTTTGTTCCGCCAAGCTTTGAAAATGAAAGAGAGAAGCTGATTGGTTGCCATGGGCAACTGCTCCGGTTTTGATAAATTCCCCTCTCTGGGTTCTGTATCAGAAGAGACACCACTGTGGTGCATAGCGATATGACGGCCATGTGGCTGTGCTAGCTTTAGTGATAAATTGAGTGGAGAAGAGAGGCTGAAATTACCTCGCTCCCTGTGTAGTCACCAGGACAGGAAGTGAGGTGAAAATTTGGGGGCACGTGCATTAAAAAAACAACTATAAAATGCAAAATAACCCAATTAATAGTCAAATAAATCATTTATTTGAAATTGTATATAAAGAATTAAATCTCTTTAGCGAGAGGACACGGCCGATGTTGGATTTATTGGTAACAGATAGGCATTCGACAGGTTTTACTGCTATCCAGGGCTCCTTAAGAGACATTTTTCCTCACTTCCTGTACTTGGGACAATGTTTTACCAGACAGGAAGTGAGAGAAAATCTGTAAAAGGAAAACACATAACAATAAAAAGCTGACAGAGGTTCTAGACTAAACTAGACTCTTCCCACTAAAAAAAAAAAAAAATCCTGTTGCTGTTAAGAGATTTTCCTTCACTTCCTGTACTTGGGACAACATTTTACCAGACAGGAAGTGAGAGAAATCTGCAAAAGAAAGTCATATAACAATAGAAAGCTGACAGAGGCTGTTTAATAGATTTGCCCTCACTTCCTGCCCTGGGGACCAGACAGGAAGTGAACTAATCCCTGCAACAGAGCCCCCAACAGCAATAGCACGTTGCAGAGGTTCTAACCTGTCCCCACTCCATCCAAAACTAAAAGATAAAGAGGGGAATTGATCAAAACTGGAGTAAATGGAATGTGGAGCAGTTGCCAATAACCAATCAGCTTCTCTCATTCAATTTCAAAGCTTTACTGAACAAAGTAAAGAAAGAAGCTGACGGGTTGCCATAGGCAACTGCTCCAGATTCTCTCAGCTCCCGTTTTGAAAAATTCCCCCCAAAATGTGTTGGACATATATACCCATTAATTCACTGCCACTTCACATTCTGTCAAAGGAAATCCCCCTACAAAAAATGTTGCATTAGCTTTATTTTTTAGAACTTCCTCAAATTACAGATGTTTTAATGTGGGCAATTCTGCCCATTAACAAAATGACCGACAGTCACTTCAATGACGTCACGGCCAGCAGTGAAGCATAGAGAAGAATACACTTCTATTAAATTAATAAAGGTTGCTCCGCGTTCCGCGTTTATAATCGAGCAGTGCTCACTGACGGAGTTATTTGATGTTTTTCAGTAGGGACTAGGGAGCCGCCGGCGGTCATGTTGCGCATGCGCACTCTTCGCCCGAGCCTCGGGTTACTCAACAGCACCGCTATTGATTTTGTTGGGTGGATTAAAACTAATAAAGTTGGCTGCAGAAGTGTTTCAGTCAGACATAAGAGAATCAGGGTATAGTTTAGTGGCTGTTTTGAAAAGCGTATTGAGCACGTGAAGGGAATATGTTCTCGTTGCATGCTGGGAAATGTAGTTGTAAAGCGGCGAGTGCATGTGGATGACATGTGCCAATGCATGCTGGGAGTTGTCACTGATGTTATGGAAGCTGCAGCTGTGCAACGTCCTCTGTTTGGAGGAGCCTTTTTTGCACTCTTGCCCCATTCAGTACAAGATGTCAGGTATGGAGATGTCATTACAGATCTCTATATAGTGTTTTATGGGGTCACAGTACAGTTTCTTATTATAGGTCCTATATGGAGGATCTCCACTGTGACCCCCTACCATCTTATATTATAGGATGGTAGGGGGTCACATTGCAGATCCTCTATATAGGATGGTAGGGGGTCACATTGCGGATCCTCTATGTAGGATGGTGGGGGGGGGTCACATTGCAGATCCTCTATGTAGGATGGTAGGGGGTCACATTGCAGATCCTCTATGTAGGATGGTAGGGTGTCACAATCCAGATCCTCTATGTAGGATGGTAGGGGGTCACATTGTAGATCCTCTATAGATGGTAGGGGGTCACATTGTAGATCCTCTATATACGGTAGGATGGTAGGCGGTCACATTGTAGATCCTCTATATACGGTAGGATGGTAGGCGGTCACATTGTAGATCCTCTATATACGGTAGGATGGTAGGGGGTCACATTGCAGATCCTCTATGTAGGATGGTAGGGGGTCAAGGGGGTGTTTGCACTGCGGACACTTTATATAGGCTGCTGGGGGAATGTAAAGCCGTCTCCCTTGCAGCAGCGAAGTCTCTTTTGCCAACAATTACCTACAACCCGCATAGTTTCCCTGCAGACCTCGCACTAGTGATGGTCAATATCTGCCGCTGGCCCGTCAATTGTCTCACTCCTGTCATTTTCCCAACAGCGACCTCCGAGAGATCCCCGACAATCAGGAAGTGTTCGCCCACATGCACACTGATCAGAGCATCATCGTGGAGCTTCTGGAGTATCAGGGGGGCATGACGGACCCCGACGCTGCTCGGTAAGGGACGTAGATTACATACTGGCCTTGTATGGATATATTATGTAAGCGACATTTACCAAATATGACCATGTAAGGTCAATGATGTCAGCACAAACATTCTGCTGCAGAAATGCCTCAACCCGCAGCTGATTGGGCGGGGGGGCCCTATGTAGGAGCTCAGGTTCTGACCCAACCTGAACTCATCGCTAAGCATCACACTGTGTTGGCGCTCTATAAATAGGACCTAGCATTGAATCTCAGCCCCCTATCACCGGGGTATGTAATATGCTCTGTCTCTTTTCTCCGAGGTAGGCACCACTTTGAGGATGTCGCCACCAGCAATGATGCCCAGGGAAAGGCGGAGATTGTCAGCGTTGAGCCCCTCCCACTGGCACAACTTGCCCTCAGCAGCTGCTCCAGTGCCTGGACTCTCACCGGGCACCAGCTCGTATCCAAATTCAATGAACAGGTAATTGTTATTTCCATCCTCCCCAGTTTGGGGTTACACATTGTCCCATCACATGACTTATTTCAGACCCGGTGATGTCATCACTGGGTCTCTGTGCTTCTCTAGTACTCCTCTCAAGAGCCACTGGCGGAACTACCAGGTTCGCATTTGCGACCGGGCCCTGGAGTTTCCACCACTTGGGGGGCGGGCCTAGGAAGGAAGAAGGGACCCCGGTAACCGCAGATGTCATGTCATAGCTCCCAGCAGGCCAACGCTCTCACACTGCACAGACTGCCTCTACTACCCACCCCCCGCTGTAGCTGGGCGGGGTTGTGTGTGCATAGCTACCTAATATGCATACCCTTCAGATGCTGACGAGGGAGAAGCTCATTGATCTGAGCTCAGTAGTGTCCGGCTGTGTTGCGGGGGGGGTTGGGCCTTCGTTGGTTTCTTGCATCGGGTCCCTGAGGTTTCTAGTTACGCCTCTGTCAAGAGCACTCAGCCCTGATGCAAGTAGTGGGCGGGCTCTGGGGAGGAGTTATGCTAATCTCACAATGCATTGACGGGTGGGTGTCAGTCTGGGGAGTGGGTGTTCCTGGGCAGGATGTATTTAAATGGGGACCGTCCTACGTAACACCCATCTTTGATTCTGAGCTTCTATAAGTGACAGAACTGTTATCCAATTAAAGGAGAACTATGAGGGGGGGGGGGATATGGGGAAAAGCCCTAACCCCATAGTTCTCCTTTTAATGAAAGGGGCGGGCCAGGGACAGTCAGGCTGCAGAGGAATGAGTTGGATGGCGCTGGGTGTCCTCCAGCCAGGAATTGAGGTGGGTTGTATCTGACTTACTGAAGCTTCTAATGCACATTGTGAGACGTCCATCAGTGGCAGGATCACTAGAAGGGGCAAAATGATGACTATGTAAGGTTTTCCTTCTTCCCTAGATGAACCACTACAACTCCCAGCATGCCATGTGTGCCGGTAGGCATTCAGTATTTGATGTATCATGTTGCCCTTGTTAAATATCCGTTTCTGTCTCTTCTCTGTCCTCAGGCCCAGAACACGGTCACCATATACATGGCGCTATTCAGAATGGCTCAATATTCCACCGACCTCTTGGTGACGTTCAATGATCCTGTGGCTATAGAGTAAGTGACACCAAGTGTCAGGGGCTACAAAACGGGCTATGAGTCTGTCCTCCTCCTGCAGGG